TGTGTGTGTGTGTGTGTGTGTGTGTGTGTGTGTGTGTGTGTGTGTGTGTGTGTTGTGGGGAGGAGGTTGTCCTGCACCTTTAGTATTGGCATATATATCCAGGACTACGTGTGTAAACCTTAGCATGTGTGTACAGTCTGCAGATATATCTACAGTAAATCTCTACATCAGACCCTTCTACCCCCATTACAGGAACTGGGTACCGGGAGGGTTACTCTTGCTTGAAGTCAGGTTCTTGCTGGCAAGGGTTTTGCTGGAATCCAAACTTGGCAGACACCTCCACGAGGGAATTATGAGGTGATATTGCAGAATTTTTCCCAGCGGGTGACACAGCAGTCAGAAATCCCCTCTGTGCTCCCCCCCCCACAGCAAACTAATTGAAAGCCTGTTCAGGAGGAGACCCAGGCAAGAGGAACTTCTAGGCTAGGCAGAAAGAGTGGATTTTCAAGTCAGACTGAACTAGGGAGTCAGCCAGAAAATGTTTCCATAGGCTAAGGGTCTAATTGAATAGCCCAGAGCAGAACAGGGGTCCTAGGAGCCAAGCAGCAGTCTCTGGGCCCAGAACTCTGCAGCACTAAGGTACAGGAACATCAGGCCCTTGGGTGGCTTCTGGCAGCCTCTTCTCCAGAGTGATGTCATGGGACACATTTAGCCTGGCCTCCTGCAGAATGTCACATCCAGTTTCTCTTCCTACAGATGCCCCTGCTTCTTGTAAGTATTACAACTCAAAAGCCTATGATTACAACTTAACCGTGTGGGGTTCTGTTTTCCCTCTGGAGGGATCTAGATGGGAAGGCTCTGAGCTGGCTGTGGGATCATAACCAGGTCTCTCTTCCCTCTAGACCTCTCCCCTCCACTGAGCATGACTTGTTCTTTTCTGTACTGGGTTACCAAGGACTCCCTCCTCCTTGTAGATCTCCATATGAACCAGGCGGGTGCGACTCTGAGACCTTTAGACTTCACAGGTCCAGCCACCATGGAGCATGGCAAGAGAGAAGTCAGTGCAAGGGGCTTTTGCATCAAACTGTACAGTGGCTGTGGCCTTCCATCCATCCATTTCTTCATTCAGTCTTTAAGCTACTGTATGTTCCGTGCCATCTCCTGGTAGGAGTTAGGGTGTAGGAAGGCAGTAACAGTTGTGTAGCGTGGCAAGCCTAGAAACAGAAGGACTGTCCTAACATAACCCTGGGAAGATCTCCTAGAGGGAGGAACATTCATATTGGACCTTAGTGCAAATGCTTAGAAAGGAGGGGTCCGCTGAAAAGGCTCCTATGCTGAAGACTTGACCCCTAGGTGGCGCTGCTACTGAGAGGTGACTAGAGAGTGCATGTGCTAACTTCATCAGTAGAGTAAACCCTTGTTGAGTTCATAACTGAGAGGGCTATGGGGAAAGATTGGGATGAAGAAGTAGGCGCTGAAGGCATGGCTTTGAAGGGTGTGTCCTATCTCTAGTTCCTTCTCTCTCCTTCTCTCTGCTTTCTGGCTGCCACAGATGGGCGGATCTTCTTCTTCTCCACCACAAAGCTCTTCCTCTCTTCAGACCCAGAAACAGCCAGGCGACTATGGACTGAGACCTCTGAAACTATGATCCAAGACAGAACTTTAAGTTGATATTTCTCAGGCATTTTGTCAGAGTGGCAGAAACTTGACACCAGCCATCCAAGTCGAGCAAAGGATACCAGCTGCAGCAATGGCTCTGATTCTATCACGGCGTTGATGCCTGGAGGAGATCTCTGCCCTTTTCTGTCTCCACTGATGCAAGTAGATGCTGGCCTAGAGACTGCTGGTACCAAGTAACAATTTGCTGCCTTTTCATCATCACAGTTGAGTGACCAGCCTCTGTGCCCACACCAGCCTCCATCTCCTTGTCTGTTCTGCTGATGGTCATGAGAAACAGCCCAAGATGGATGGGATCTGATGATCTTGCACATAGACCATCTGAGTCATGACCCCTTGGTATCTGTAAGTCTGAAACATGTTTTCAGTTCCGGAGATGGAGCCCAGGGCCTCACATAGGCTAGGCCAAGTGTTTTATTACTCAGAAGCATCCATAACCATTCCTATCAGTTTTGAACATACTTTGATATTTTCCCACATTGTAAGTGCCTCTTTCTGGTGGTACCCAGAAAACTCACTTTTCCAGCCTTCCTTGAATCCAGGAATGGGTAAGTGAATTAGATTGTGCCAATGAGATATGTCTTCATGAGCCTCTGATCCAAAAATCAGGAATGAGTGGGGGAAACTCCTGCCCATGGCATCCATCTTGCTGGCAGGAAAGTAGCAAAGTAATGAATGGTGTGTGACTGTGGGAGCTGCTCTTGGAAATTTAAGGGTTTTTTTTTGAACCTCCCATAAATGCTGTGAGCTATACAACAATTTTCAGTAAGTTCTTTTTATGCTAAAAGAAAGGAGTCCGTATAGGTTTGGTGTTGTGCACAGCCAAGAACTGAGTTTGTCTCCCTCATTGCCCCATTGCTCAAGGTCTTTTCAGCCCTTGAAAGCTTGTGGCTACAGAGCTAAGCACAGAGTATGAAACATGCCTGGTCCCTCATGCGGTCTCACTGTGGAAATGAAAGTTCTGGCTGGTGAGGCTTGCTGAGACGGGGTCTCACTATGAAGCCTTGGCTGGCTTGAAACTCACTCTGTAGAACAGGCTACTCTCAAACTCACGGAGACCCACCTGCCTCTGCCTCCCCAGTGCTGGAGTACAAGCGTATGCACTACCATGTTTGGCTCTCAGCTAAACTCAGTGAAGAATCCACTGAGAAGAGCCACCCCGTTGACAGCCAGGACTTTGGAGACAAAAAGCAACAACTGAGAAAATGTAATGTCTACCTTATAACCTCCAGGGAGTAGCAGTGGGTGTCCTCTCAATAAAGCTGATCACTGAAGACTGGAGAGATGAGTCAGTGATTGGGAACACATACTGCTCTTGGAGGAGACCTGAGTTCAGTTCCCAGCACCCATGCCAAACAGCTCACAGTTGCCTATAACTCCTGCTCCCCAGGCTCTGACACCCTCTTCTGGCTTCTGCAGGTGTTGTATTCACATATACAATCTTCCACTCTCTCCCTACACACACAAAATTTGAAGTAAAAGTAAATTTAAAAAATTTAGAACCGGTCTAATGTAGAAATTTTGGGAGATGCAGAGAAGTATACATTAAGGTTACCCATGAGATGGATCCGCAGTTAAAAGTGTTTGCTGCCAAACTTGATGACCTTCGTTCAATCCCCTAGACTCACATGGGTGGATGGACTCCCACAAATTGCCCCCTGACCTCCATATGTGCACCATGGCACAAGATACCCTCCATACACACATTAATAAGTAAAAGTAATTTTTTTTTTAGTTAAAAACCATTTTCCTTGGGGAAAAAAGAAGAGACATAGTGGAACAACTTGAGAAGCTCTTTGCTTTAGGGAACCACCATTGTCCAACCATCCCAAGAATTACTTGAGAAGTAATTCCATTTACTTGGAAAGGCTTCTTTTAGTTGGAAACTCTTGGATGAGCTCTCCAGACAAACAACTGAAGAGATTGTTTTTTTTTTCCTTTAAGAAGAAATTTGAATGACTGAGGAATTAATAATTTTTTTTGCAGAGTTACAGGAAGACAAATCAAAGCCCTTGTAGATTCTCCTTTGTCTACCACTCCAGGCATGAAAAGTGGTCAAACCGTTGGTTCCCACAGGGAGGGTCCCAGGAATGTTTCTATGCACATGTCTTTGGCTATGCAAGGTTGGAGTTTGTTGCAAAACAAACTATAATGTAAAGACATGGAAAAGGAAGTTAAAGAAAATATGGATGAATGTTGTATTGGCTGGGGATGGGAAACGTTTTTCCATGTAGAAACCACAAAGGAAAAGGTTGGTAGATTTGAAGTTCTGAAACATGCAAATTTAAAACATCTGTATATTAAAACCACCATAAAAAAGTCTAAAAGACAAAAAGATTGTAAAAAATATTTATGCCACTCAGCAACAAAGGATTTGATATGTCATCCAAACCAATGAGAGAGAGACAGAGACAGAGAGACACAGAGAGAGACCGAGACAGACACACGGGGACACAGCACACAGATAGAGACACAGAAAGACACAGAGACAGAGACAGACACACACTGGGTAGGGGGAGCTGCAGATGTAGATGAACAATTCAAGGAAGAAGAAATGGTGCCCTTTATGCCATGTTTGACACTTCCTGACTGTCTACGGAGGGGAGACAGGAGGCAGCTGCCAGGGTGGTCTCGTCACCTCCCTCCAGAAAGTATAGCATAGGATTCTCTTCCCTCTAACCCTCACTGCCACCTTCGATCCCTGAGAGAGGATCCCTGAAGCCCCACTGAAGGAGGGTACTCGTCATTTTACGATTCAATTTCTGTCTCCCTAATGTCTCCGTTCTGAGTCCCTCTTTCCTTTATCTGCCTTGGATTCCAGGGATGACAGGACTGGTTGATGGACGTCTTTAGGACAAGGGACTGAAGTCACCCTCCAACAACAGTAAGACTGGAACAGATAACCCACCACGTGGTAGCCATTATCTAGGCGAGGCCCTACCCTGGAGCGGGAGCAGAAATCTTCAGGGATGAAAGTGATAAAGACTTCTTCAGATTGCCCCCAAAGAACCAGAACTGGGACAATGGCCTTTCGTGACTGCTTAATTATGCATACATCTTCACCTTAACCCAATCCATCCTCTATTTAAACTTAGGCTCACACGAGGTCTCCAGATATAAACTTTGGGCCACTTTGATTAGACTTCCTCTCTCTATCCTTCACTGCTACTCATTTTTGTCCTTCTCTTTTAAAATTTTTTTTGTGGGGGACACAGAATGTTCTAGGTTGGCTTCACACTATGTAGTTGAGGATAACCTTGAATTTTGGATCCCCACATTCTCTATTTCCCAAGTGCTGGGATTACAGTCATCCACAACTATACCCAGTCTATAGTGCTGGGAGAAGACCCAGGGCTTCGTGTTTGATGTACAAGCAAGCACTCTACCAGTTGAACTATATACCCTCGGCTGCACCCATCTCTTTAAGTGCTGTATTGGGATGGGGAGCTGAACTTAGTCCGTTGGGATTCCTGGAACTGGGACTTTTGTATAAAACTCCGGCAACACTATCACTTTTTCCATCTACTCAAAACGCAGATAATTTTCCTGAGTAGCCAGTGAGGCATCAAGCTCTCTTACCTCAATTTAGGACAGATGGTTTCCAGCAATAAATCAGAGATGGTAAGATAATGTGGGTGTCTGAGGATCTGACATCCTATAGATCTTTTGACAAACCAAGTCACAAAGTTCTTACCCATTGATGACTGTCAGCAGTTTTACTTAGGACTTAACGCAAAGCAAGAAAAATCAGGATTATATGTGCATAACATATGATTGCCACCACCACCTCTGGACCCTTTCAGTCTCTGTAAATTTGCCCAAGACTCCCTGTTCTGGTATGCCATTAAAGGACCATGGTGAACTAGGGTTGAGGACAGGGCTGGAGATGGCAATAAGGGCCTTCAGCGTAACTGCTCATGTCTGCGTAGGAAGAAGAAAGGGAGGGAGAGAAAAGGGGGAGATCCTGTTAGAGTGGAGGAGGGACTCACAGAGTTTGAGGGAGGACAAAGGAGAATTCTTAAGAAGTTGTGCATCCCCTGGAACTGGAAAGATGCACCCCATTCTCAGAACACTTGAGGAACTGAGGGAGAACAGGTGCACTCAGCTTCCTGGCTGTTGGCCAGGGGAGGAAGAGCAAGGAGCCTAGAACAGTCTGACACTCTGTCAAAGTGGGGGTGGGGCATCAGAATGCTTGGGCTGGAAAGGTGCTCAGTGTTAAGTGCTCTCTCTCTCTCTTTCTCTCTCTCTTTCTCTCTCTCTCTCCTAAAGTTAGAAATAAAAAAAAATTATGGAGAAAAGGAGAAAGCAAAAGCTAATTCTTTACCAAGAGGCACACGAACTTCAAGAACCACTCTGAGTTTTAGTAGCAAACATATACAGAACCTCAACCAGCTCATCTCTGAAGCTATTTTAGTGTCTTTGAGGTTTGGGGAGCGGGTAAACCCCAGAAAGGATGAAAGAGAATGTCCTTATATTTGTAGAAACACCGGAACCAACCACAAGTGCTCAGCCCTGACACAAGAGGAGGGAATCCATCCGAAATACCAGTGCATTCTACATGTCGGTCCCACACAAAATAATTTCCAAAAAAGGAGAAAAAAAAATCAAAATCTGCATAGTGAAAACTCCCAAACAGGGAAGTGGTGATGGAACACATTAAACACTTGGGGTCCAGCTCGAGTAGAGCCGCGTGGCACAGGGATGCCAGGTGAATTCCCAGCGGCAGCAGGGTGAGGAGTGAGAGACATGACTAGGCCACCAACACCTGTGGAGAGTCAAACTGAAAACCACAGGGCTACCCTCCCCTGACACTCTGTCACCTCTGTCACTCGCTGTGAAGGCCTGCATGTCACTCCGTCATGACTCCTGTCGCTTGCTGTGCAGGCCCGCACGTAACTCAGCCATCCGGAATTGGTAAAGACAAGGTTGGTGCTGTAGCGTTGCTTAAGGAAGGAGAAATCACAAGGCAGACGTGAACCTTTCCCTTGGTAGTCTTCCGGTGTCAGAATTAGCAGAGGCCTGCTGGGATAGGAAGAGGCTAAGGATCGATTTAAATCCCCAGGAAAGTCCAGGAAGGTGATGTGAGTGAATGGGGTACAGACCAATGAAGCCATTAATCGTTATAAGCTGGCCATTGTGGTTCACGTCTGCCATCCTACCACGTGGGAAGCCAAGGCAGAGGATGGAGAATCTAAGCTATCCCGGGCTATACATAGGAAGACTCTGTCTCAAAAACACCCCCAGGAACCTGTCTCTGTATGTCTGCATATACAGGACATTACAAAGGTGCCAATTTCCCCCAAAGTCACACGTCTTTAATTTGTTCTCTTTTTCGAGTCTAACAAAAATGATTTTAGATTTTATTTGCCAGGGGCTGGAAAGATGGCTCAGCAGTTTCTTAACAGCTTCTTGCAGAGAACCTGAGTTTGATTCACAACACACACACACACACACACACACACACACACACATACACACACACACATACACACACACATACACACACACATACACACACACACATACACACACACACATACACACACACACACACACACACACACACACACACACACAAGCTCAAACTGTTTCTAACTTCGGTTCCAGGGGCTCTGATGCCCTCTTCTGGCCTCAGTAGGCACCAGGCACACATGTGGTAGTGCACAGACATACAGTAAAAGAAACCAACCTGGCTGGAATCACAGTTCAGTTGTTAAAGTGCTCACCTAGCATGCATGAGGCTCTGAAGAAACTAGGTTCTGATGGCTGGCTCCGGCTTGTAATTATAGCTTTTGAGAGATATAGGCAGGAGAATCAGAAGTTCAAGATCACCATTGGCTACGTAGAAAATTTCAGGGCAGCCTAAACTATAGGAGATTCTTAAACAAAAATAAAATAAAATATTTTTTCTTTTTCGAGACAGGGTTTCTCTGTAGCTTTGGAGCCTGTCCTGGAACTAGCTCTTGTGGACCAGGCTGGCCTTGAACTCACAGAGATCTACCTGCCTCTTGCCTCCCGAGTGCTGGAATTAAAGGTGTGCGCCACCACTAAAATAAAAATTTTTTAAACTAAAAAAAAAAATTAAAAAACAAAAAAGACAGATTACAAATAGCTAGTAAATTTATTCCCCACAAGTAGTGAAAGAAAATGTCAATAAAAGCAAAAATAAGGAAATTAGATTTGGTAATTCACATGTGTAATCCCAGCACTTTGAAGGTAGAGGCAAGAAAATCGGGAGTCCAAGGTCATCTTCAGCTGCAAAACAAGTTCAAGT